TTCAGGAGAACAGGGCCAGACAATGTGGTAGCCCCTCAGCTCTTCCCTCGTACCTAGTGTGTTTACCCAGTCATCACGGAGGAGAGATTATAACTGCTATAATTAAAAGGTTGTGCCAGAAGGCTGTATAAAGGAGTGGCTAAAACACGTGTCAGATCTGCAGCTCTGCTACAAGGCCAGCTGCATTCCCCTCACTGAGGCTCAGTTTCTTCTTGTGCAATGTGAGGATGTCACAACAGTCTCATCTTTCAAGGGACCTGAGTTTTAAAGTCAGTGCTTAATACAGTAACCAACTGCAGACAAATTATGCTGTTTCTTTTTAAGCATCAAATGAAAGAGTTGACTTGCACTTAGGAACTGCATTGTATGAAGAACACGTAGCTTTAACTACTCTAAGTCTAGGGCAAGAATTCAAAGCACCAAGAGGTTCTCAATCTGAGAGACACATGGGCCCTGAGAGGCAGTGGGGGACTCTGGATTTGTAGCCTTTGGCCCTTTCTCCATCCGGGGCACCCACTTTTTGGTTCAAATGTCAGGCAGAACTGGCCTGAAATCACTAACCCACACTTTCTTCCTTTCTCTTGCACACTCCCCCCCACCCACTCTCATCTTCTCCCTTGTTGGAATTCCAGCCAGTTCAAATCCAGTTTGATGCAATTCAACTAGAATACATGCATCAAAGGGACAACTTGCAAGAACTGAACGAAATATGCATCTGCGCCTGTAGCCGGGGTGCACCCTTCACATTTCTCTTCCAGAGCCGACCGGCTGCCAGCATTGCTGTGGAGCCTGCTGGCCTCCCGCAGCTGCTGCCCCAGGATCTGCTCTTCCCAGCAGCTCTCAGCCCGTTTGAATGTGGGGAAACCAGAGCCAGGCCACTCCTGCCCAGTTTGGTCTCCTCTGATGGGCAGGGCAGTCTTTGCCCTGGGGCTCTCTTGGGGGCGTCGTGAAGACTTTTTCAGAACTGCCCTGCACGTTGAAGGTGTCATCCAATCCTGCCTTCCCTTCCATCCTTACCCTCTAAGATGCAGACCAGCATCGTGGTTTGAGGCTTTCCCCAATTCTGTCTTGTCACCTGCTTCCCAGAGGACCTGGGCTGACACGACATATAAAGTACAGGGCATAGAATAAAGGTTCGGGAGATGTTAGGTGTTACTGTTAGAACAACTAGGATTTGATTAAACTAATGACTCCACTAACAGAAGACACTCAGAGAGGCACATATTCTCATGATGACCTGATTCAAGAGTCCTTGGTAGACTCTCAGGCCTCGCCTAGCCTGTGACCCCTGTAGCACCATTCCAAGGAGATCATTCTGCTTTTCCTAATGCTTCGTGGTGCAGAGGGAATTTCAAAATCCCCTAGAGGATTTGGTAAAAGCTTCAGAATTAGCTGGAAAACATGGGCCTCAGCAGCCCTCTGTCTTGGCAAGAACAAACACCACGGTCCTAAGAGCCTTCTTAAAACAAGTATTGCTGAAAGCCACATTCTTTAAACAACAGAGCCTTTCCTGAGGGAGTTCTGTGTGAAGTCATTATGGTCTACCTAGTGTGTGTATTCCTGGTGCACACGGGACATTGATTTGTCTTGCAGAGGAAAATGATGGTCAAGGCAGCAAGGGAAAACAGAAGGGTCTCTGAACACACCCATCAATCTGCAGCCCTAAAGCATGGCCACTAGAGCAAAAACACTTTTCAGTGACAGGTCCCCCAAATACTGTTGAAAACCCTCTTACGATAACAGGTATAAACTCCATTCTCCTGAGATCTAAGAGGCCAGTTCCAATTCAGTGACCACAGCCTTCACATAGTAGCTATCAACAATATGATAATGGCTTGTGATGAAGGTGTTGCCGATGTTTGGCTTACCGCAGCAGAGAAGCAATGAACGATCAACGGCAATTAGGTGCTTAATAAAACCACTTTGGAGACGCTGCTGCTGAAAAGATTTTCACGGGTGGCACAAGGGACTCAGCAATCAATCCCAATGAAGCCCATGGCTGTTTTTCTTTTTGAAAGCACTTCCTCCATCAAATACAGACTATGTGACTTTTGCTCCATCTGAAGGAAGGGGAATCGACTTTCATCTGATTACTCACAGAAAAGCCACAGGTACAATGATCACTGAAGTAGACCCCGGACACACTTGGGTCAAGGGCAAGACTGGGGAGAGGTAAGAGGAAATCCCAGTGATAACCTAGAAAGGGAAGAGCAGACACCCATCACAACTGCACACTCCCCGCCTTTGGGGCGGGAAAATGATATCAAATTACTAGGAAAAACAAATGGGACTGTAGTTACTTATCTCTCTACAGATTACTCAGTTGAGCTTTCCACTCCTGTTTCTATTATACCAAGTCCACTCTCGCTTGATATACCTTTTGTACCAGAAAGAACACTGGTTGGTGAGCATGATAGACCCAGGCCTGAGCATGGTTCTGAGCCTTCCCTAGCTGTGTGGCCACGGGCAACCTACTTCTCTCAGAGACTCGGTTTCCTCATCTGGAAAACAGAAATAAGAATAACTACCCGACAGGGTTTTGTGAGACAAAATACCCACATGGGTATGAGAGGCCTCAGCATCTTGTCCCAACAGATTTAAAATCAACTCACAGAGCCTAGCCCGTATCCATTTCTCTGCCCCCGTGGCACCATTCCAAAAAGATCACTCTGCTTTTCCTCATGCTTCGCTGTGCAGAGAAAATTTCAGCTATCATATCACATGTGACAGATGCATGGCCCAGAGAGCAAAACTGCTGTCCTATATTTATCATTGGCCCTAAGAAATAAAAACGAGGGATTTTTTTTTTAATACTACAGTTGTGAAATCTCACATTAACGTTAAAGAGTTTGGGAAGTATCATAAAAAATCCACAAGATGGGGTGCCTGGGTGGTTTGGTCGGTGGGGCGTCCGACTCAGTTTTGGCTCCGGTCATGAGATCAAGCCCTGCATTGGGCTCTGCACTCAGCAGGGAGTCTGCTTGAGAGTCTCTCTCTCCCTCTGTTCCTCCCCCAGCTTATGCATGTGCTCTCTCTAAAATAAATAAATAAATCTTTAAAAAAAACCCCACAAGATGGCTGGGTAACATCATCATCATCATCATCATCATAATTAACATCTCATTAATTACTTTATTAAATTCTAGACACTATTTTAAGTACCTTACATTGATTACTTCATTTAATCCCCAGACTACTCTATGAGGTAGGAACCATTATTCTCCCATTTTACAGATTAGAAAACTGAGGCACAGTGAAATTTAGTAACTTGTACAAGGTCACACAACCTGCAAGTAACAAAGGCTAGTCTTGTATACAGGCATTTTGATTTCCAACCCTGTGTTCCTACAAGTATGCCAAAGACGGGACTTCCAGAGTGGCTGGCAAAGTTCTATTTCCTGACCTGAGTGGTGTTTGCTGTATATTTTACTCATGTGGTTTTCTGAATGAGTTTTAATCTATTAAAAATAAAAAGTAATAATACTAGTAGCTAAAATTTTGTCACTTGATGCTTTGGGCAAAAATGGATGTGTTTTGCAATCACAGGCACAAAATGATGGTTCTGCAATATTGTAATATTTGTCTCATGGGGCGCCTGGCTGGCTCAGTTGGAAGAGCGTGGTGTGACTCTTGATCTTGGGGTCATTAGTTCGAGCCCCATGTGGGGTGTAGAAATTATTTAAATAAATAAAACTTAAAAAAAAAATTTGTCTCAGATGTTTAGGACCCTGGCACAGAAGGAAATGGAAATTGTATTTTTAATGTGTGGTAGGAGGTGCTGTTGTTCACCAGAGTCCAGGGGAAATGGGGAAATGGTATAAGGGAAGCATTTTTATTTTGGCATGCTGAATCACTCTCTGCCTTGACTCAACACTCAACATTCTTCTCAACATTCATTTACTTCTCCCTTCACACACCTGTCTCCTCTTCCTCCTTTTCTCTTCTTAACCTCATAGCCACGCCCTCCTAGTGCCCTTCTCCTTGTCTCTTTCTCCGTTTCTTATAGAGAACCTGAGAACATTTCTTATTGGTTTTATTCATTGAATATTATGATGTATTGCTTAGTCTTCATTAAAAATTGAATAAATTGTTTCATTTTCCCCCATATTTTCCCAGAGATGTATAAAAATAAAAATTGTTGACTAGATTGTAGACAAACTTCAATTAATCCTCCTGAATTAAGTTTACATTGACACAGGTACCCCTTGATTGACTTCTGTTTTCCTAGCTTAATGGTCAATACAAAACTTTTGTACCTTAAGAAATTTTAGGACTGGAAAGGTTACCATGTTATGGCCTAAGAGGAAAACGAAGTTTGTGAGCATAAGCAGCCCAAAGCAATCTTACTCCTTACATACCTCTTGTTTTTTTTTTTCTCTCCTATAGACGCCCGGCAAAGAAATCATATGCCAGGACTGTTTCTTAGCCTGTGACCCAGATAGGGATTAATCTTGCTATTGTAAAAGAGATCTATGCCAAGGACCTACATTCAGAGACTCCAGCACTGTATGTAAGGATGGGCCCGCAAAGGCTGGGTGTGGCCAGAAAGATCATGCCCTAAGTCCAGAATCTCTTGGCCTCATTCCCAGAACTAATTTGTGCACTAGGACATGACTCAAAAAATCTGATTACTGGGCAGAAAAGTATATTTTTAAAAATCTCCTTCTCTCTGCTAAAGAGACACTTGCATTCTTTATTTAACAGCTGAATCTAGGGTGCTCCTCAGTGTAGCATGTATCATCTTCCCACTTGAATAAGTACTGGGTACTCCAGCCCTTCCCTCATCAACACAGTCCACACCCGAATCTCAGAACTCCATGGGGCCCTGCCTGCCCCTGGCACCTTGGAAATAAAGACCCAGCACATGGGGCCTTTATATCAAACCCTAGTCCCCCACCCCACTTCAAGTTCTAAGACTTCCTTGACTCTCTCTTTGGGAAGTCACAGCCCGATCAGGACCTCACACGGTTCTATTACATCTGCTGGGGAGCAGCATATACCTGTTGGAATGTTCTGTAAGCAGGCCGGGATCCCTCATCCTTGACTTCTTCCCCCGGGGCTGAGAACACTATTTCTTCTTCCTCCTCCTCACTGTCTTCAGAACAGGAATCAAAGGCATCAGCATAATACTCTTCAGCCACAAGCGGGTCTTCTGGGATCTCTGAAATAAAGAATAAACAACAATCGGGTCCTACCAGTCATTAAATTATAATGAGTCTAGGACTCCCCCCATATTTTCCCAGAGATGTATATTATGTTTGCACTGACAAAGCTTTCATGGAGTGTAGAGCTGAATCTTAGCTTCCTGAAAGTATCTGGTTGACTTTAATAAATACTCAGAAAAATTAAACCAGTAGAAGAAAGGAGGGATAACTCTATTTGCAACCATATTTTGAAGGTGGAAGGATAAAACCATGAAACAAGAAGAAATGATCTCCTTTAAAGTCTCTACATTCAGGGACACCTGGGTGGCTCAGTTGGCTAAGCGACTGCCTTCGGCTCAGGTCATGATCCTGGAGTCCAAGGACTGAGTCCCACATCGGGCTCCCTGCCTGGCGGGGAGTCTGCTTCTCCCTCTGACCCTCCCCCATCTCACGCTCTCTCTCTCTCTCTCATTCTCTCTCAAATAAATAAATAAAAATCTTTAAAGTCTTTACATTCAGAGGCATGAATCCTTATTACAAATGAGGGGATTTAGGAGCAAATGCCAGATGAGATGCCTTGGCTGTGGGACCCTATTACACACCCACATTAAACTTTTGCAGAGGCAGTTGGAATGGAACTGTCAGCACTCTTCCCGGTTGTTTCTTTTTTATTTTTTTATTTTTATTTTTTTTAAAGATTATTTATTTATTTGAAAGAGAGAGAATGAGGACAGAGAGCACGAGAGGGAAGAGGGTCAGAGGGAGAGGCAGACTCCCTGCTGAGCAGGGAGCCCGATGTGGGACTCGATCCCGGGACTCCAGGATCATGACCTGAGCCGAAGGCAGTCGCTTAACCAACTGAGCCACCCAGGCGCCCCCGGTTGTTTCTTTTTTAAAGAAAATATGAGTGGTGAGACCAGGCAAGATGGGTAGGATATATAGCAATGGCATTTGGGCGAGCTGAGGAAAACATTATGGTTCTTTCCCAACAGACTATGAAGGCTTTTGAGATGGAGTTCACTCTGGGACCCTGCTTACTCACCTCTATACGTGGCATTTATTTATTTTTTTTTAAGATTTTATTTAATTTGTGAGAGAGAGAGAAAGAGAGCATGCACAAGCAGGGGGAGCTGCAGACAGAGGGAGAAGCAGGCTCCCCATTGAGCAAGGAGCCTGATACGGGACTCGATCCCAGGACCCTGAGATCATGACCTGAGCTGAAGGCAGACCCTTAACCAACTGAGCCACCCAGGTGCCCCTATTTTTTTTAAAGGAAAGACCACCCACTTAAGTTGATGCCAAGAAGTGGCTAAGCCATTTGATGCAATGTTATTACTAATTAAAAATGTAATTGGTGTTTTATAATGGTTTCCAGCCAAGAAAGGCCAAGAATGGATCACAAAAAAACACAGCAATATCAACCCCAATTTACTAATGAAGGCCTAGAAACAGGGAAATACCGTTGGGGAGAGGAGTGAATTACAGAGTGACACCCCACCACATTAAAACCATGGGCATAGGGTAACCTAGCAGGGCAGGTAGCTATGAAGATTCTGTAATAGGATTCTTACAAAAGCTTTGTCTATAGGCAAACTTTATAAAACGTTCACTCAATTTCCACATCTGTAAAAATGGACTTTTCGTTAACTGAATCCAGAATCCTCCAGAAGTAAGATAACTTGGCAGGCTACTTTAAAATCTTTGCTCCCTATGGTTTCCCATAAAACACAAGAGGCAGTGCCATGGCATCAAAATTAGCTCAAAAGACAAAAATAACATATACTCAAAACTGCCTTTGCCAGTTCCTTAGGAAGGAGCATATTGGGCATTTCGGTAACTCCAGCACAGCCTGTTTTTCCCTTCAGATCACTGGTTTTCAGTTGAGCAGCAGATGAAATAGATTATTTGTATATAGGGGTCGCGTTTTATAAAAATCTTTATTCAACTCACACTCAGAATGGCTCAAGGATCACAGCAAGAGAAGTTTGTGAAAACTAACATCAACCGAGAAGATAATTCAAGTCTCTAGTGTTGTCCTCAAGTAGGGAGGGGCATCTGCTGGCTGAATGGAACGGTGGACAGGACCACATGACTTCCTGCGTCTCTTCCTCCCCCCACCCCCGGCCATGTCTCTCTCTTTCTTGTCCATTTTCTACCCCCCTTCCCACTCCCTCCTATTTCCTCTTCCTTTCCCAGAGGCTTTCTGTCTCTTTGACAGTTATTCATTCATTTACTTATTCCCTATTTTCTCCTTCTTTCCCTCTATTCCTCCTCTCCTCCTCCTTTAGCGAGAATATTTGCTTTCAAATTTGACTGTGACACAATAAGAAATATCATTTCCATTTTGTTGTTCAGCACACAGAAATGTGCTTGTATTTGTGTATGAATATAAATATATTTATAGTTGAAATGAAAGTTTCATGCATCAAGATTTATCCATACTTAAATATGACACATTCTGGCCTTCCACATTCTATTCAATTTTTTTTTACAATGCTAGTTGCAACTTGTTAAAGTGATTTCTCAACACACAATCTGAAAAACACCTGTTGAGAATGCTGGCTTTAGAATCCAAAAGACCTGCATTTAAATCGAGGCTCTAATATCAGCTCTATAACAGGCATTATTTAAACTTCCTGCACTTCAGTTTTCTCATCTGTAAAATGGAGATGATCATAGCCATCTCTTAGGATTGTTGTGAACATTAAATAGTATAATGGATACAAAGCACTGTGTACATGGTAGGCATCAAATAGATGTCAGTTACTAACATGTAACACAAAACTCTGTATATGTTTTGCCCATAATGCACAACACCAGGAAGAAATATAAATATTAGACAATCACAGATATATACCAAGTTTAATTTTATACACGCACACAAAATAGAATCACTTCTCAAAATCCACAGCATACCCATTTCAAATGGGCACTAAGGCAGTGGGCCAAATCATACAAACCGTTCTCTTGATAAATACTGAGCCCCACCTCCCATAACATGGCTCCTATGCACAAGTCTTAGTCTCAGAGAAAAGACTCTCTCTCACCAGGGATCCCCTCCCCCAAAGGAGAGGAAGGAAAGAAATGGTGGGGGGCGGGGGGGAGGGAAGTGCCATTCTGGCACTTATGCCTCAGTCAGGAAACAGACTGGGATGAATCCACCTCCAGTATTTCTTAAACAAGCACCACTATCTTGGTGCAGCTCAAAAAAGAGTTCATTTTCAAAAGGAAAAGTCAAAAGAAATCTAAGTCTGCTCAAACTGTGTTTGTCAAGCTATGTGTTTTTTGTACATGGGCCCAACTGGAAGCCTTGTTAGGCTAAGGCTCGTTTCTCCTGTCATTGAGGGAAAATGGTCTGTGATAAATAGCTTTAATTTCCTCGCACCCTGAAGTCAGCCTCATAACAGATGCGCTGGAGCGGCATTCCAGATCTCTACTAGGCTGGGTGGGCAGGAACAGTGTGTTTATGAAGGAATCCAATTATGGCTGCCTCAGCCTGGGTACAGTTGCTGCAGATCCATAGCAGAGAAAAAGAGAAGCAAATACCCTGTTCCATGAAAAGGATGCTGTTTGCCAGACCCTTCAATTAAGACCTTAATAGGGGCACCTGGGTGGCTCAGTCAGTTGAGCCAGTGACTCGTGGTTTCGGCTCAGGTCATGATCTCAGGGTCGTGAGATCGAGCCCTGAGCCGGGCTCCAAGCTCAGCATGGAGTCTGCTTGAGATTCTCTCCCTCCCCTCTGCCCTTCCCCCTGCTAGTGCTCTCCCCCACTCAAATAAATAAATAAATAAATAAATAAATAAATAAATAAAATCATTAAAAATAAAAAAGACCCAAATAAACCCCTTTCTCTAAGACTTCAGTGAGCATCAGGACCACTTGCAGGGATTGTTATAACACAGATCACTAGGCCCCACCCAGTTGCTGATTCAGTAGGTCAGGGTTGAGGCCTGAAAATGTGCATTTCAAACAGGTTGCCAGGGGATGCTGGTGCTGCTGGTCTGGGGCCACAACATCCAAACTACTGTTCTAGGATGTCACCAGTTCAAATAAAAGTACTATCATATATTATTACATAGATGTACTATAATAAAATACATAAGACTATAATATCTCTACATCTTCCAATCCTATATATTACAGACCCCAAAAATGAAGAAATAAAATTTACCTTAGAAGAGTGCAAACTGTTGTGCCATTAGTTTCTCAACTACTCACAATTTCTGTGAAGTTATAGGGCACTATTCCCATTTTACTGACGGGGAAGAAGAAAGCTATGATGAGCAGCCCAAAGTTACAGCACTTCATAGTTTGCAAAAGCACATTCATATCCATTATTCCATTTAATCATTGCAACAGTTATTCAAGTTAGACCAGGACAATGATTTTATCTCATTTTTCAGATCATGAAAATGAGATTCAGACAGGCTAATCATCAACCGAAAGTCACATAGCTGTATGCAGGGTGGACACTAGATTAGAACACAAATAACCTGAATCCTATCTTTTTCCCATTAAATGGTGCTATTTCATGGTTAGCTAGGGATTTTCATGTTTGCTAGTAAAACCAGGTCATGGATAAAAGTCATGATAGTCTTCCCCCACCACTCTGAAAGATGTTGGACAGCAAGGGATAGACTTTTGACTTCTGAGATGGGAAAACTAAAACTTATTCATCCTGATGAACTGTCTGAAAGGAGCTGGGAATAGTGAATGCCAGGGGCCCTCCCTTAGATTTAGCCCAACTGTCACTCCCCTCGACCTCAGATGTGCTCGAACTACAGTGTACATCGGGATCCCCCTGGAGGCCTGTTCAAACAGATTCCTGGCCCCATGCCCAGTGGTTCAGATGCAGTGGTCTGGGGGGGGGGGCGGGGTGGCGAGAGTCTATATGATGCTGCTGCCAGTCTGGCAACACACTTTGAGAACTACCATTCGACCTCCTAGGACCTTCAAGGAGAAAATGGCATATGAGCACAACTGTTTAATGAGCCATTCCCCCATACTTCACCTATTA